GCTAGTATTTTGTTTTTTTCAAAAACTTTACTTTCTCGCGATAGTCGTCCCTCTTTAAAACGTTTGTCAACTATATATTCACGAGTTATTAAGAAATCCTTTGTGACAACTTTATCAAATGGATTTTTAATATTTGAAAATTCCCTCCATTAATTTACTAACTTATTTTAAATTCAAATCAGAAAAAAATACTCGAATTTATTTCTCAGTTAATACTGCTTTATTGATTTAATTTTAATTGACAGAAAACAGAAAATGAAATGGGAATTAAAAATGATATAACCATATTTATTATTAAAGTGATATGGCCATATTTCTTATAAAAATGATATGGCTATATTTATCATTAAAATGATATGGCTATATTTATCACTGAAATGACATGGCTATATTTATTTTATCTAGATAATATAAAATATTAAAAACCCGCTGTTTTTGTTTTTGCTGCATTATGGAACAATTTAATTAAATACCAATAAATTGGGCCTCAATTTTTTTTTTTATTTGTTACCTTTTTTTCGTAAATTTTTTTTAACAATCGATGGTGAACAATTGAAATAAAAGAAGATAATTAATTATAGATATAGCTATTTATCAATCATGAAGATTTATCAGTCACAAATTTTATCAATTAGTTTCGCAAATTTTATCAGTTAAAAGCTTTGTCAATTACAACTTTTATTAATTGATTTCTCAAAATTTAGTTGCAAGCTTTTTCAATTACAAGTTTCACCAATTAATTTTGCAAAATTTATCGATTGCAAGCTTTATCAATTACAAATTTTACCAATTACAAGTTTGAATTATCCGATCAATAATCATTTCAACGATTATTCAATTAACGATAATAATTCATGTTATGAATTTAAAAATTTTCAGTTCACAGTATTAGTTATAATATAATTTTAATTACTAATAGCAATAATAAATATGCTGTTAAGAAATTATATAATTTGCAAGAAGTAATTAATAATTGTATACTTTTATAAAATATTTGAATAATCAGAAAAACTTTTTTCTTCCTTATCTATTTCAGAATTTTCCTTATTGTGGTAATGCCAGCAGAAATTGCATGTGGTATCATCGTCAACAGTTTCAATGGACTTACAGTTGGTTCGAATGAGCTTAATGGTATCGGAAATGAAATTATTAATTCCGTTGATTACAATAGTGATCCTGAACATGTTTCATCTATCCTGCGTGATGTTTTCACACAATCTGCTGCTTCATCTATTCCGGTATCATCTTCTGTAGTCATAAATTCATTCCAAGGTAACGTTGTTGGAGCAAATTCACTTCAAAATAATGCTGGAGTATCGCTGATACCAACAAGATCTATTGGAATTAGTGGCAATTCGCGGGTATCATTATCCATTATATCGATTTTTTGTTTATAATTTTCGTAATTCGATTGGATCGAATTTATCTAATTTAAAATTAGTTAATTTAAATTATGTGACGATAAAGATTTCATTCTTTGTTCTCTTTTTTGCAATGCTACTACAGCTGAGTACAGTAAATTATCGTGAATTTCTTAATTGATTTTCAATTTCCAAAATTTGTGTTTTTTTTTTTTCAAATTCAATAAAGCTGAATTATTTGGAAGAAATCTTCTAAAACATTTGCTGGACAAAAATGATAGTATCCATTATATTTACATTCACTTTTTTCCTCTAAAGAACTCTTCATATTTATTCGTTTACTTAATTATGCATATTTTTCCTTGATATTTATAATCCTACCGTAAACCAAATTGGCATAAAAGTACAGTTACTGTATATCAAATCTTGAGGGCGAAACCTGTATAACATCGTCATTATTATTAACTTCTAGTGATTTCAAAAAAAAAAGAAAAAGAAAAAATATGTTAATTAGTCTTACAAAAGTAAAAATTTGCCGTACAACAAAACATACGACTACTAACGAATATTTTCCAAATTTTAGTTTACACTATATTATAATCTTTGTTTATGGTACCCTTTTGAAAAGCAATTCGTTCTTGATATCCTGAATTTATCTACAGTATATTTTAGCTAATATTCCTTCCAGTACTTACCGATCAAATAACATTCAGAATGATGTCGTTTCCCCGTTAAAATTTTTTTGCGATAATATCAAATCATTTAGTTGTGTTTAATCATTCCAGATATTTTTGAACATTAGTAAATACGCTAAAATCAAATTTAGTTCTTTGAAAAAAAAGTTTAAGCGTGAACAGAACAAAACATATCAAACGAATAAATTAGCCGAAATTTAAGCAAACAAAAAGCAAGAAGATCAAAGATACCTCTTGACCGAATTAATTAAACTAATTAATCATTTTAACTAATAATATTACTGCAAATTTTATTCTTTTCACGTTATAGAAAAGAAGAATGCATTAAAATTCCCTGATAAATATAACCATTAACAAGGAATTGTTTGACACTTTGATAAAAAAAAGGAAAAACATTTCTGTATATTTTGTTTTATTTATGTTTCTAAATTAGATGCATTAATTTTGACTGAGTACATCTAATTATCTATGATTATATCATATCTAAATTACTTTTAATTAATTATTTTGGTTTTTCTTCTCTAATGTAAAAACTAAATATTTCATATCATATTATAATTGTAGATTAATGAATGGGAATTATTTCGGATACGAATGCGAATTTGGGCAGCACAATTACAAGCAAGATATCGATTGGTAAGTGTGTATTATCAGTGGTAATACTAATTGATAATGATATTTGAAATGAAAATTTAGTAAATAAATAAATTACTCGGAAAAAAAATTATGGTAAATAAATCGAAAAAAAAAGCTAATGAACAAATAAAAGGGATAAATTATCATATTATCATTAGGAAAAAATAAATGAAGAAATAAATTTTTCAAATTTATTAACTACGACAAACGAATAAAAAAGTGACAAAAATTATTTATTTTCTTTTTTCTCTTCATTTTAAAATTTTTTACAAAATACTTTTTTTTAATTTGAAACTTTACAAGAATAAACAATAACAAACATTTTATTATCGTTTCGCATATTATGCATAATTCAATTGTGAAAGTAATGGAATTGGGAAATAATAGAATTAAATTTGATAATTTTGTTTTTCCTTCTTTTTTTTTTACTTTGAGCTTCCTACAAAGGAATTTAGTGTTGTGAGAGGAAAGCTTCAAAACTTTAGGATCATTTTATAGATATAAAAAAAAGCAAATGTAAAAATAAAAAAGAGGAAAGAAAGATAGTTGAATGTATGATAACAACTGATAAGTAGTAGAAAAATCAGTGTAAAGTTACCCTCAGAAGATTACAAGTTAATATAATCATAACCATCATTATCATCAAGGATTAAAGAGTTATAAGTGCTTGATGATATCAAAAAGAAATTCTTTTTTTTGTTAGAGTAGACGAAAAAAAATAAAAGTTGTGATTAAAATGTTACATATTGCAAAGGATGAATTAATAAATATGTAAAATTTTGAGAAAAAAAATATTTGAAAATATGCTTGGCTTTTTTTTAAACTTACAATTGAAGTTGACAAAAAAAATTTAACCTTTTAGTTTTTAACTTATAATTAAACAAAAACGATGAAGTGTCTCAAAAATTTTTTTGGAAAATAACGATAAAAATCTTAACTTTTTTTGACAAAACATATTTCAAATAATCCTTTAGCTGAAAACTGAGAAAATTTTAACAAAATTCAATCGACATTTCCTAATAATCTACAAATTATAAATTGAAGAATATCGTACAATTTGATTTTAATAGTTGAAGAAAAAAATAATAAAGTTATATCGTGCAATAGTAACCTAATTTATGAAAATCTAACTTGTGTATCTAGTTCAAGGAAGAAAATGACATGAAATATCAACATCATTTATAATTTATTTATGTGTTTCAGTTATTTACGAGAAATGACTTTAAAATAGATTGTTGAAATGAAATATTGACATCATTCATGGACAACTTTCATACTTTTTTTTCAAACTTTTATAGTTCTAATTAATTAATTATAGTTTGGAAATCTTTCAGTACTATTTGCGATATCCATATGCTTACATCTATTGGAAATATCATCGTAAGAATTCCTTCTAATGGCTTTTTATCCAAAATAGCGATTTATATTCATGATTCGATCCTACTCGAGCTATATTTTTCTCCTTACATTTTAAATATAAGAAAAATTTCAATCGTAATTAATCTTTCAGAATTATGAAGAAAAATTAATCAATTCGAATTATTCCTCATTTTGAAATATATTAAATTTTCGACTTTTTTTTGTTCAAGATTTCGAATTGATGAATTTCTTTTCCTGACAAGATTTGAAATGCTTCGTAAATTTTGAATTAATTGAAAAATAATACATTATTATGATGGGAAAATTCTTCCATTTTCAACACACTTTTCCCCATTTCTAATATTTCAAGATTATTTTGATTTCTGCTTTCGATTTTGGCTATTTTCCCTTTCTAATTATTACAGAATTGTTTAACTAAACAATGAATTGGAATTAAAACTGAATAAAAATTAAAATCTGAAATAGATTACAAATTAATCTCTAAGGACTAGATAAATTTTTCCAATATTTTTTAGCATTTTCATGCTTAAGTATATTTTGTTAAGATGAATATAAAGTAAAGCAGAGATTCAATCCATTTTTGGAAGATAGTAAAGATTACTAAGATCGATTTCAGATTACTAAATTCGATAATAAGTAAAATGGCGGAAGTGTTGATTAAATTATGAAGTGAATATTGCAAATTAGAATAGTTCATTTTAAATTTGCCAGTACTTCATAAACTCATATGTAATAATCTATTTGTTTTTATGCTTCAATTTTTTCCTTTGCTTTACATGAAAAAAACATTTTTCATCTGTTTTTTTCTTTTCTTGCTTCAATTTATAATTAGTATTAAGTTTATTTGGATAGCAATTCATAAATTTATTATGCTAGCTGTACAAGCAATCATTTTAATTGTTTGATATCTTGTGTATTAAAAAAGATTTTTTCCCAACAAGTAAAATAAAATACAGTTGAGATGAGTAAGTATTTAGTAATGTGAAACAGGAACCTAACATGATTATAGTCTATTTTTTAATCCTACTATTAAAAATCTTTCAGAAAGAAAAAATTTCACGCTCATCAGAAATTACCAAAGTCATGACAAGAAACTTTACGAACTATTAACTGATCTTGCAACTTCTGTTAAAATAACATTGTCTCTTGCACAAGTTAGAATTGCTTAATTTCTTATCCGAGCACAAAGTTTCCTTGTTCCGTTTTTAGATAAAGAAAAACAAAGAGAGAAAGACAGGAGTGGAATTGGTCAGAGATAGAAACCGGAAATCTGCAAATAGCTTTCAAGAAATAATTTCATGCATAAAATGCGATAATTGGTATTTGACCGCCTTGAACACCCGTCCCATTTTTACTGTCAGCTGACGGCGTGAAATAAAAATTAACAATATTGTTTTCTTCGTTGTCACTTCTTTCTTCCTTATCAATGGCAACCGAAACTTCTGTCATACCCTAAAACTTGAAATTTAAAAATGCACAGAAATCCAAAAATTTATAATGCTAATTGAGATTGGATCTAATTGCAAAGATATTGTGATCTTAAAACATTCGAAAAAATTATTTAACCACAGCTGCTAGATAACTTAACTAGATAACTTGGTTTCATCCCAGTCACAATAAAAATCCACAAATATACAGCTGAAATCCCAATTTCATGCGGTATAAAACTTACTTCTTGGCCAAAAAAGCTCAAGTTTTTGCCTTCCATAATAACCGATGCTGTATGCTTGACCTCCGGCTCAATCTATAAAAGGATTACAAATCAAAAAGTAAAAAATCAAATTTAATTTCTATTTACCAAAAGCAACAAAAAACGAAGTTACCTGGACAGGATGGTCGAAATGTAGCAAAATTGGTTCTGAACAACCCGTTGAGGTAAGAACTGCCTTCCTACTTTCCAACACTTCATCACCTTTCTTTAATTCTAGTTTAACCTGAAATTTCAACAAAATCAGATTTTTTCATAAAATAGTTTTCTTTCGAATGATGAACGCAATTCCAAAATTCATGCCAGTTTTCGAATGTTTCCCCTTCGGAAACAATCTGTAAAAATGTTATAAAATCAAAAATAATATTTAAAAAAAAAAAGAAACCGTATATTGTGAACTTCTTTCACTACTACCATACAATCCGTAAGCAGCAACGTATATGCGGCGATCGACTAGGAATTGAATACTATCACAACGACCACGATAACGCCACTGATTTGTTCTACAAACATTTACGAATGTAAATTCGTAAAATCTTTCGAAAGGTTTTTCTATGCATTGATTATTGGATGTTTTGGAAAAAAAAAAGATTTTAAATGAAACAAACCTCACATTTCCATGTAAAATAAACTTTGCATGCTAAATTAAAAAAGAAAAAAAGTTTTTGCTAATATATAAAATTTATTTAAAAAAAGGCAAACCCTTCCAAAGCTGTTTGAAATCGAAGGCATGAAAACAACTGTAGGCCACTGCGTTTATTTATTAAGAATGGTAACTGGGGTTTTTCTTCTGCAGCAAAGTGTAAAAATATATCATTGATTTCCTGAAATGATCTGTATGGTTCTCGATAAATATGTATATATCACTGGAGTTTACATCGAAACAATAACGACTCGTTTTGTTTTTCTGCAGAAACAATAAAAATAATTATACCTGACAAGTAAGCAAATCCATTTTAGCTGGGCCATTAGCAAATTCGTAGATCGTCATGGCGGGAAAACGAATGTGATACAAAGCGTTGTTTAGTACATTACGCATATTTATCTGTGAAACAGATATATCTCTTCTGGAAAAAAAAAGAATAAAGAAAGCAGAGGAAAATTTGCTTGAAATCAGCAAGAATCATGAAGGATAAATTGAGACCCAATGAAAACATGAGTAAACTTTTATTACGTCAGATAAGAAAATGGGAAATACAGCTGAATATTACTAAAATTTCTAACTTCCTATTTCAGCTACAGACTAAAATTTTTGCAATAAATTAATTTACCTGCCACATTCAGCTTTTGCCCATTTCAAAGCTGCTTCATAAACCAATTTTTCACGGATAAGAAGCGTATTACGTGATAAAATTTCGTCAAATAATATAAAATCGATATCACAGAAAGCATCCGATGCTAGAACTCTTTCGGCATCCACTTCCACTAATTTCCAACATCTCAAAAATTTCGATGATTAAATCTTTGATCTATAAGCCTTTGAGGTATCAAAAAATGAGCAAATTTAGGATCTTAAAAATATATTAACTGAAAAGTTGAGCTTCCATTGGAGAAATTGTTCTTGCAAATACTTAAATACTTACCTATCCATTAGTTCGTGCTCTTCCTCAAAGAGTTGCCGTTGAGAGAGCAATAAGCAAACATTTTCTGCCTTCAAATTAAAATTCAAAAAATCGATGGCTGTCTGCACCAGATGGCTTATCATATACTTCTTTGCTACATAGAGCGTAGAAAGCGCATTTGAGGGATCCAATTCAATGCTGTCGCAGTAAAGATATCTGCAAAAATCGACAGCAATGGAGAAAAAACAGTGATTTAAGAAGTTGTATTGTAGATTTTAGAAATTTAAAAACTGAAATGTCATAAATGCTAAGGAAATGACAAACTTCAGTAAAATTTTGAAAGCAACTGGTTCCACATCCGGCAATTTAATTTCATCATTCTTTTCGAATCCACCATTAAACATAGCATTAAAGGGAGCTGATGCTATTGCCAAAACATATGAATGAGCCGGAATTCGCTCACTATTCTGAAAGCTCTCATGGAACTTTTAAATTTTTGAAAAGTCAATAAATTCAAACTGAAAAAGTGATGCAAGATAAACGAAAGAAAGAAAAAGTTTTTTTTTAAAAACATAAAAAATCTTAAAAAATCTTTCGATTATTTTCAAATCATAATACCAACTTCGCCAATGCCAACAACAAAGTGAACATCAGCAAGCCATTCATTAAGGTACATTGAAGCATTTCGTTCTCTTAATGTTGATTTGAATCCATTTCCATTAGACTTTGGTTTCACTAAAATTAGGCTTAAATTAATTCATAAAGTTTTCGTTCCTGAAGTATTATAGCAAATGGTTAAGTTCAACGATTTTTTGTCCATAGCTAATGGCTAAGCTCAACAATTCTCACAATTTAATCGAAATAATGAAATGAAGCAAAAGAAAAATCCAGTTTCGTCTTATATTAAAAATCCAAACAATACAAACCAGTTTTATTTCGTGGTGCACGTGATAATGTGCCACCAACTGGAATGGTAATACTTACACCATCGTATCGTTCTTTAACCCTTGAAATGCATTGCGGTAGCTGAGATTGTGAAACTTCCGAATTTTCCGCAAAGACCTTCAAATTTCTTATTAGGAAATTAAAATATGAGGAATGAATGAGAATAATTAGCTAAAACTTTGTAATTAGAAAATATATAAAGGAACAAAGAAGAAAAGAAATTAACCTGTTGATTGTAGCATTCACCATTACGAACTGTTATACAAGTGACAGATGTTAAGAGTTGCTGACCACTGCTGTTACCATTAGTGCTAGCTTCGAAATCGATGCACTGAAGGTTTGATATATCTTCAGTAGGTGACATATCCTGCATTCCGTCTCCTTGTTGAATGCCTCAAAATATGAAAATTAAATTTTTGAACAGCAAATGAATAAAGAAAATTCAGGATATCATTTATTTTCTTCCCTTCCAATTTTCTGGTTGAATATTACTTAACTATTTGATAACATTCACATATTTCTTTAGAAGAATGTGTCAATATTCTATTCATATCAAATGAATGAAGAGCTAGTCGACTTTCTAATTAATTTGGGTATATTTTGAGGAAATGGAAGATAGGGACAAAGAAAAAACGATATTTACTTGGTCCGTTTTTCATCGGATTCGACATTATCGATTGTTAATTTATTCCATTGACTTGATTATTAGCCATACAGCTCTGAACATAATAAATTAATAGAAAAGGTTTAATATCTTAAGCTATACAGCAATGCCTTCCAATATTTTTTTATTAAACTTAGTCGACTCAAATTTCAAGTTACTCAATTGATTAAATCCATATCTCGTACTTTAATGGTACATTTTAGCTTCAGGGATTTTTAGAAAGACATGTTCTAGCGTACATTATGACGATACGCTATTATACGATCAAAATAAGGCAATCAAACAGCACTGAACCATATTAAAACATTAAAACTATGATCTTATTTTTTGAGATTTGGATAAAGTTTACATATATTCCAAATAAAGATTCAAATTATTACATGACTATTAATGTTGCATCAGTATACATCACAATCGTTTATTTCAAACAAAATGACGATAAAATAAAATTCACAACCAATATAATAATAGCAGAATGTAAAAAAAGTTAATACACGCATAATGAGCAATAATAATAGTAGAAAAATACCATAAAATATAACCCAATTAGAAGAAAAAAAAATTCAATACTTCCTTATTCCTCAAGAAAATGAGTAAAATAATTAAGACAGTATTTGCTGCAACTATTTGATCACTGGAAAAGAAACTTATTTATGATGATCCACAATGATGACTGTATTAGTGACAAATTATAGACAGAATATAATGATTAATTACATGAAATGCGTAACAGTCATCGAAGTCTAATCAAGTAGCGGTGAATCGAAAGGAATGATTTGATAAATAACAATAATAGAGGGGAAAATAAACAGTTAACAGAATGCAGAAATTAAAAAATAATAAGCTTCTTCGAAGATTATTGACCATAAACAAAATACCGAAACCGCTGTTATTACCATCATTATTCAGAAGTTGCATAATGCCATATTTTGCACAGATATAAAAATTATGTAGAGAGGAAGAGTAATTAAAATATACAAATATTTTCCTCTCTCTCATGTTTCTAGTTACGTAAAACCAATTCAGCAAAATAAACGAAAAAAAAAACAAAAATAGATTTGAAATAAACATTACTTTAAAAACTATGAATATAGAGTTCAAAACAGAATAATAGTTAAAACAAAAAAAAGAAGGGAATAATAGTAACAAAAAGAGAATAGCTAAAAAAACAGAGTTTTCTCAAAACAGACTAATAGTTATGACTTTATAGACAAATTTTTAGCAAAACAGTAAATTGTACGAATTCGTTCCTTTGCTGGCTCAAATTTGGGCTGCATTGATAAGGTCGAATAATAGAACATTAATGCATGCTGATACTTTTCCTGCAATTTCGTTAAGAAATTGAAATTTAAACTAATTTCAAACTCCATCTCCATACTAATATTTCTTGATATAATTCTCGTCCTTATTCTGTGGCAATAACTTTTAATCTAAGTTTGGAATCCTTTGAAATTGGTTAATATAATATAGTGAGAAGATAATGCGGAGAAAAGTGAGAAGTTACTAACAGTAAATATAATTGAAATGTTACTAACAATAACAAATGTAATTCAAATGTGAATGAGAATATCTTTAAAGATTAAAGCTTAGTAATACTTGAAAAATAAAAAAATTCAGCTGCCTTGTCAGATAACATATTTAAATTCTACCTAAATCAATGCGCAAAATGAAATTTAACAACTTACCAGCGAAGCATAAATATTAGCAAGAGTAAAGTGTATAGCGACAAGTTTGGGTGAAATCTTTAGTGCAAAACCACCAGCAATCAAAGCACTATGCAAAAGTCCCGCTTGCTGATATATATTAGCCATACTGACTAAAGCTACGTCCTGAAAGGCAAAATTTATCTACATTCAGTGGCCAGAAAAAAAAAGAAACCAACAGTGACTATGAATCATAAATTCAGATGATGACTTCTGAAGCATTTCGCTATTTCAATTATTTCATATTTGCAAAACTATTATTTTTGAATGTTAAGTTTCATCCTGCCTCCTTGATCAAAATGCCTGCAGACTCTGATTTTATATGTGTAATGAAGAGCGAAAATTAACCGTTCCTTAAATCAGAGCTGTACATTTATATTCTTCTATATCCGTCAAGAGAAAAAAAAAATCACTCTCATATCTGGTGGAGCTGAATTCAACGATTGTCTAAGACATTTCAATGCATTCACAGCATCACCTTTTACACGCCAGTACAAAGCTGAAGCAGTTGATAAAGACCAGTGTACGCCGCCCTTATCTAGAAATTCAAATGTCGGTAATAATGACATGCGAAAAAGAAAAGAAGACTAAAATCTATTATCTTAAAAATTATTAAGATTACTTTCCACAGCTTTGGCAATTTTAAAAGAAATTGTCGAACCAACTACGATAATTTATATTATGCAAATCACAGACATTAGTAATAGAGATAACAAAGATGGTTTTAAAATACCTTTTGAAAGAAAAGGAAAAAAACTTGCTCAGTGCAACTGACAATGCCATTGCATCTTTTAGTCTTTTGGCAACCACCTCAACTCGTTCTTTTTCTTTTCCTAGTTTCAGAAATGCCTTAAAATTACAAAGTTACGAGAAACAGAGAGTGAATAATATAATCAACTTTTGACAAAAAAAAAGCAAAAGAAGGGTAGGATGAACATATGCCTGATATTGTCATTAAGGAATTTACAAAGTACACGCAGTTAATCAATAAGTCTTTACTAACATTTTTTCTTTAGTTCCTTCCTGACAGAAATTTAAAACGTACATCTGTTAATCCTTTCTCCGGTTTGTAATGAATGAACTGATGACGAAGATGATAAGCTGGTAAATGGTCAAGAGTAAGAAGCGGTGAAGGTGACAGTAATTCTGGACAAATAGGCTCAAAATCTTCGTCTAGATCAACTGTTGTTTCGAAATCAATGAATTCATCCAGATTTACTCCTTTAGCCGTTGCGGACAGCCAAGTTGATGTGCTCTGTTCACGAACAATCGCTAAGCTCTGAAAAGACTAATTAACGTATCATTTTCTTAAAAATAATTTGAATTTTTAATTCTAGAACAAGTAACAAAAAAATAGACTTGGATAAAATTAGCTTTGTAACTTGAAAATAATAACGACAATTTTAAATCGGTTTTGAATTTTTGTTCTTAAAGATGATTGAGAACTTCTACTAAACCAAAGACTGTCAATACAGCATCACCGATACGTAACAATATTCGACTGCCTGCTTTTAAGCATTATCATCATAGTCCATACGCCTCAATCTCGCTATCTGCTAATATGGCTATCTATTTTCGATTAATCGCCAAAATCACCATACCATCACTACTACTACAAAATAATACAGAACGAAACGTGCAATTTCATGCAATATCAGTTAGCATTGTTAGAAATAGTTAAATTTAAAATGCTTTTTATATCGTTCAAATTACCAACCATTTTAGTGTTCGCACAAAAATTACTGTTTGATTTACGTTTTGATGGCAGTGGCATATGAGAGAAACCATTCGTGATTTGATGTTTAAACGGCAGAGGTAACTTCTGTAATAACATGTTCGGTATAATCGTTTAGAATTGACCCTAGTGGTTTCAGTTTCCTAAATCTTCAGATGGTTTTAGATGACTGTAAAAACACATCAAACTGTTCAACCAATTAATTAAAAGTATCCGAAATAGAAATTTTAATACTGGAGGAAGCGGGATGTCAAAAGCAATCATTCTTCGCCGTTCCGGAACGTGCGCCAAAGTCAACTGCCCCTTAAACAAAACAAAAAATAATAAGAGAACAACAACAAAAGGCTATAGTTAAAAGATGTATAGAGAACTTAAAAGGTCAGTAGATTTTAAATTTCGCATAGTAACATGCTAAAACCATTTAGATGTTAAAGATAAATATAATAGTTAAAATGACAGGGAATATTTATTGCATACAAAAGTCAGTTTACCTCTGGTATAACTATTTTGTCAACAAAGACATCCAACTCCCAAGAATTAATCACTCTGGATTCCTTTAGCACATCACTTTCCGTAAATAAGATCTAAATTCCGCAATACCAAATCATTAGCTTTCTCACAAACTTTTCTTTTTAGAATAAGAATCAAAACAACTGAACCAAATCATGTTCAATCAAAGAAAAAAAAAGTGATACAAATTTGTGAACAGTATAACAGACACAAATTCGTTCTGTAATGATTAACCGTCTTAATAAATCAGAAATTCGAGTAAACCTCGCTCTGGAAGAAACTTTCCGTTGAAGGGACAGTCATTTTCTGGATTTTCCGCAAACTTTCTTCAGCCCCATAATCTAACGGGATCTGAAATATCCTTACTGAGAAATACAATTCCATTTCTGACTGAGCTCACAAAAGATATAAATATAACTATCATCAAGACTATCCCACAATAAACTATATAATAAATTATAACCCACCACAAAAGATGAAGAAAATCAATATCAAGGTAATGTACTACGTGGAAATTAGGATAGATAAAAGTGCAAGTAAATAAATGAAGTGCATATATTCGTATATTCCCGATATCTACTTGAATAAGAAAAAGAAATGAAGGAATGGTACCTCATCAGAAAAATCCATAGTTGTTTTCAATCCAGTAATTTTTGCTTGTCTGGTTAACTGTTTTCGCACTTTTTCATCAGTTTCTGCAAGGAAAACAAAATTAATTGTAAAAAATCTGAATATAATTTAACAAACTTTATTTGCAGGAATAGCTGCTTTCGTTTGGAGATTGAAATAAAATAACGGAAGTCGTTTGTATTATTTCATTTCAGTATTGTTTTTTTCCAGTCGTATTCTACTAATTTTTTATGTAAATTTTTGAGAAAGAAAATTTGATCGTGTAACTCTAATTTAGTAAATAATGAATTATAAGATCACTTTCAAACATGCTTTTATCACCTAACATTCGTCTAATCAAAAAGAACTGGCTATTTGTTTTATGAAATCCCTTTATCAATTTAGTGAACTGAATTTTAAACGACAGTAATGCCTGACAATATCGAAATAGTTCATACCCTTGCTGCTACTTGGATTTAACGGCAAAATAAAAAGTGCAAATGAAAAAGCACGCTTGCAAGAATCCTGAAATAGAATTTGCAATAAATACCACTAATTCCGCAAATCTAAGCTTGTTATTGCTTCAGTTGTTTATCAGTTGCGTAGCAAAGTGTAGTCTGCAAGATGATTAATCTATTTCCTTTGATCACGACACCACTTTCAAACATACCTATTCAAATAGGCCCGAGTATTTTAACTGCTTAGCAAATGAAGATCACTTAGGATGTAGATAAGTGAATTTTTTTGGTATGAGATGGTCTTGTATTTAGTATTTGGTGTTAATAACTGCAATTTAATATCAACTAAAATTTCATTAGCAAATAGTAAATAGTATATGAATAATATAAGGAAAAACATGGATAAATAAGAATTAGATTAAGAAAAAAGAAAGCAATAGCTAACCTCCCCTTTCCTTTTAGAATCTATGGCGCAAGTTATTCCTATAAATGCACCTTCCTTGGATATCATGAAACACCGATCGCTACGAATACCAAGACAATAAACATTCGATTCCGCTTGGGAACAACAACGTAAATGTAGTCGCTCACCAACCAATTGTTGCTCGTTCTAAAGCAATAAAGATGCATTTTTTCCACAATGTATATATATTTCCTATTCAAATTTTTATAGTAATATGTGTATCTTGTAGAATACATGTTCATCCCCTGAATCCATTTGATCAAAAAAACAATTTAAAAAAATTATACTTTTTAAAATGTGAGAAAATTGTCAAAAAAACTAAGCTAAGATACGGCAAGGTATAACAACAATCAAAGAATCAACTTGATAAAAATCTTGATAAAGTTCTTACTTTACTCAAACATTTCAGCGCACGAAGCATAGCAACAGCTGGTTGAAATAACGGATCCAAAATAACTGCAGCACGAACGTGTACCAATGCGATGGTATGCTTCTTTTGCAGAATTCTTACAATTCCCAACAAAAAATGTATTATAGGCTGGAAATTTTTCACGGTTAAATTTAAAGAAATCTGATTCTCACAGAATCTTGAGAATATTGATATTGAATCACAAAATATCAATTATATAGTGCGCTAATTTCCTATTCAACTCCTAAAATATTGTAAGAATAAACCAATATAAATTGAAGTTAGTAACAGGTGTAGCTCAATAAGTAGGAAATAAACAATTTATATATTACACGTATTGCATATACCAATTTCTTATGTTGATCTTTTTTTTTTCTCGTATTTGCTACCCTACAGGAAGAAAAAAGAAATCGAAAAAACTTTTCTAATATTCCGAGATTTTGGCACAAAGTGATGTAGAGGCCTAGCTTCTACTTAGATTAAAAAATTCTGATTAAGTTATTTTAATTTGGTTTGAAATCAAGAGATATGCTATTCGATTCTTATTATTTCAAATCGTAGGACTGTTTCCTACAGTTATGAACAAAACACAAGATCTTAATTATAGCCAGAATTTTTAATTCGAGAACTACAAAGAAAGAGAACAAACCTCATTCGGATCAAGATGCATAGCACTGTTCAGCAGAACGGCAGCGTCGTTTAGATGATCGTCATAACTGATACCAGAACGAATAATGATCTGCGCTAGTTGCACCAATGCAACATCTGCGTATCGTTCAGGCTGAATATAATGAACAGTAACGAAAGAGAAGAAGAACCTGCTTCATATTTCTTAACCCCACATAATAATCTAACATTAATAATATAACCTGAACTTAAGTAAGTAAAACGTACGAGGGAAATACGCATGAATGGTATATGTGTTAAGTTTGTGGATAAACATAAAAGAAAATGAATAAATATGATGTGACAAAGATACCAAAATTCATATACGACTTTTTAAATGAAAAGAAGAAAAAAAGAGCAAAGGATGAAAGATTAAAATGGAAATAAGCAAGGACGAAAAACCTATAAAACAGCCTACAAAACTATAAATAGCACCACACAAATTTGCATGTAAGCTTGTTTGCAGCTATTGAGAACTATGAATTGGGCTATCATGCATATTTATATTGTGTGGAGTAATACAATGCTTCCAAAACACAGGATAGTTTAACAAGAATATGAATCTTATTCTTCCGGAATTTGAGAGTATCTAAATTAACCCTACTTTGAATTCCTGAATCCTGGCTGGAACTACGACCAAATCATATATGAATGCAGTGATATCTCTAACTTATGAAATGCTTCCATAAGAAATTTAAAGGTTAAGAAAACTGTAGTAAAATTTTCTAACCTTTATCTGTAATGCTGCACGAAGACAAGTAACTGCTTCACCTGGTGCGCCGACAATCCGCCAGTACAAAGCTGCTAAATTGTAAACTATCCATTGCGGTCCAATTTTCTGCAATTTAAATGAATTTAAATTTAACTGAAGTAAAAATGAAAATAAATTACCCGTACCCGTTCAAACTCAGCAGAAATTCATGCTAAATCAGTTTTGTCCAAAAAAGATGTTTCACGGATGAAAAAACCAACGTATTTCATAAGAGTTCCAATACGTTGCGCAATATCTGCTTCAGTAATCTTATCATCCATAATCTTCAAAAATACCATTCGAAGCTTATCTTCCGCAAATTGTAAGGAAGGACTGCGTTCTGCAGCTGCATGGATACCAGGCAGCTGGAAAATCTCCTGCTTACGAAGAGCTTAACTTTTTCTGAATGTATAATCTTAAAAATGAATCTAAGAGCTAATGTAATACTGCTAATAAAATGGATATAGCAAAGAATAAAGCTGATAGTCTTCCACACGTCAATTCGAATCACCTCAGGATATTCAAAATTGTTGAGCTATAGATCTCTAATTATTACTGGTGTCAGAACGAAATCGTTTATTTGATAAACATCACGATGACGTAAAATTACCTTAAGTATAGCAGGCAGCGATTCTTCGGATATATCGATACCACATACAGGTGGATTCCATGGTAATGGATGTTCCTCACCATCGTTCAGGCCAAGATATTTGCCAAGTAAATCAGATGATCTAATTTAAAAGCATGATAAAAGACAATTAATAATCATTATTAAAAAGAACATGACGTTACAACTAATATCAAAAGATCACTTGAATCCTTTATTTTCTGGACTTAAGAAAAGTTGCGGGAGGTTCTCCGGCGTTGGAAGCGAGAAATGCCAATAAGTGCTTTCACATAATGTTTTGTTCGGCCAACTGCTGCTCAAATAATTCTCCAGAAGTTTATTGGTTGATGGTAAACTGAAAGGGATTCCACATTACTATAGTCAACAATTCATGGAATTATTCCCAAAAAAAAAAAACCAACGATGAATTTCAATATTTACTCTAGTTTTGCACAAAGATTCTAAATTTCAGGTCTGTAATTTACAGTTTTCGTGGATAAACTGGCTTGCCAACTGGCTTATCCATATTCATTTCTTTCATAAGCTCTAGTTTTTCCAGAAACACTGTTAGCTCGTAGGAATCGTTCAAATTTTCCACAATTCGCGCATTATATTTTGGTGTCTGCAACATATTTTCTACAGATGCAAACTCATCCGCCACATACGAATTTTTGCAATAGCCTATCTCACATTCTAAATACTCAACTTTTAACATTCATTAGTTTGTTTTATTTAAATTTAATAAAATAATTAAATTATGAACTGGTTTTAACACGTAGTAGGGGAAAACAAATGAATTAAGTAAACTGATTCAAACATTTTTTATCGATATGCAGCCAGCAATGGCCACTTCACTACTAAAAATGCCTTCCCGATCATTACAGTTAAAAGAAAAAAAAGGATACTCTCCAATATCCTAAAATATAAACCATAGCATAACGAAAATGTGAAATGAAGTTTATAGTCACTATAAGTTATTAACAACATCAGTTATGGAACCTTGGTTAACCTGTAGCATACCATAGTAACAATTTTAAATTATGCTGAAAAAACTTTTGCTTGAAAATTCATGTTGAATAACTGGATTTTAACCTAATTAACTTTTCTATTTCAAAAGACACACATTCTTTGCTCCATTTCGTTTGAAATTTGCCACAAGTTTACGATGTCTTTCGTCACGAACAGCTCGATACTTATGCCAATCGCTTACGCTGCACTGCATTACTAAACGACCCGATACTGACACTGAACGGCAACTCGAATCTATAATCAATGTACCAATTAATGCACATATTTAGATATGATTTGGAAAAACGACATATATGAACTTATTTGATATGTTAAGCATTTAGCTTATATACATTTATTAAATAGAAAAGTATTGTTTAATATGTAAGGTAAAGTAAAAAAAACTTACAGGGTAGGCTACCGTACGTGAAATAATCATGAATCAGAGTAGATTGTACCGCTTGTTCGAGACCTATAACATTCCCCTTCGTACTTTCTTCCAACTTCTTTATTGCCTCATATCTTGAAAATAAAATGGATGAAATAGAAGTTATGAAATGAGTAATTTAAAAAGTAACTCTATTTTTTTAACTGCTCATTATTAATCATTAAAGTAAGGATGATCCATTAGAAATATTTCGTAGGAAAATAAGGGAATATATGAATTATAAAGCAAGCATTATGATACTTGTCATTATATAAATTCTTCTCTTCAATTGTATCAAGCAAATTTCTGTGCTGCTCCTCCATTGCACTGATCAATTTTTGGTCGCATTTTAGTGCTGCTGCCTAAAAAAAGAAATGTTACTTTATTAAGTCGGTTTATAACCCAGTAAATTGATTGAATCTCCATCAAAGTTTGCAGTGATATTATGAGTCCAATCCATACCAGCGACTGAATTTTCTGACGTATACAGAAGGATATAAATATGGATGAAAAATTGACAATTCTATCGCCCTATCTATTCCATTTTATAGTTATCACTACAGTGCAAAAAAGGTCTTATTACAACTATTGTATTGCAAACTGAACAAAACCATCCGGTCAGATCAGTGACATACAACAACAATTATCTTAGTTTGAAGATTATTTCAAAACGCACCTTAACTTGGGCACTTTTCATTGATGGATCTATTGAAAAAGCAATGTCATATTGCTCAATCGCTTCCGACCGGTTCTGCACCAATGCATACGCATCGCCAAGGGCCATACGTATCAAAGCATCATTAATTTTTAATAATGTCAACTGGAAAAGATTATAAATTAAGACAAAGTTTACTTGGATCTGTATCTTTAATTAGACAGAAACACAAACCTGATAAAGGACGATTGCATCTAAAGGATAACCAGCACGATGAACCAAATTTCCAAAATCAAACATAGTACGAGCCTGCATTTCTCTGCAAAGTACAGAAAATGAAAAAGGAAGACATCGCCAAAAAACTCAAAAATTAGTGAAAGTCTAAAAATCCACTTAATACCACCAACAATTTTTCAAGTTCTCAGCTGCAATTCTACTAAATTTATTTCCAAAAAAAATTCTGTACAAAAGAAATGCAACTTAAGAAAATACAGAGCTCATAGTCACGGAAGTTTATTTAGTACATTTAAAGATGATTAACCTCATACAGAACGTTTCAGTACCATTTTTTCAGTAAAAGAAGGCTTTCATAGAATTTCTTGTTTCCTTTCGCTACTAATGGAAAAATGATCCAATTCTATGATTTACTTTGCTGTAAAATGAAGAGCACGCCGAAAACATTCTATAGCTTTTGGAGCATCACCTTTAATTCGCCAATAGAGGGCTGCTAAACGCAAAAACGAATCATTAGTTGGTTGCTGAAATTATTCCATTCAATGAAATATTTTAAAACTTTTGTGAATTTCATACAACAACAGAACTAATGGAAAAGTATAAAATAACCATTTCTAATGCTCTCGCAACATGGCTACCGAATTCGGTGGTTGCATAATTTGGCGGGAGTAACTTTTGAAATGCTGCTTCGGGAATGATCTTTAGCTTGTCACGTTGCTGTACAGACTGAAAATATGACTACATTGAAAAATGAAAACTTGACAATCCACCAATTAATTAATGTTATGTTCCTAATTTCATCTGCAATAATTGAATCAATAACAAAATTCGTTGAAGATATGTAATACAAAATTTTTTTTTGCTATAATATTAATATCATACCGGGAAATGCTCAAAGGCATACATACTGAACTGTAAATCGTATGTACAATGTGGTTCCACTCTTGGCTTTTGTTTATCATCATTGAATTCAACACTGGCTAAAATCTCTAGGCTGAAAATCAAAATGTAGACAAGAACTTCAAATAACTGGATCTTTCTTAAATGGACAACATAAAGATGATGGCAATCCATGATATTTATCTACCTATCTCAGTTTAAGTTGATATTTAGAGTTATAAAGTTCAAATCACAGCAGTTTAAGGCCATCATTTAGCTTTTTCTCTGAAACGCAAGTTTGGACTTGTAAAGGAGCATAAGATCAAGCGAGCATGCATTTCTAAATCTGTTCGTAACAAAGTCAGTATAATATCTTGTGCTTGCTCAGCCGCTCAGCTACGAAGTGGAAAATTAAAGATGCAAATATAAAATTAAAAAATGTATGAAATTATTCGAAAGTCTTGAAATGCTTACTCTTCAACCAACTTTCCAAGAGTATAAGCTAACAAGAAAGCATCTTTGCTGGTGGACATGAATCCACCCATTATACAATCTTTATCAGTTTTACGAATTTTTGTTTCTAGTTCTGGATCATCGGCATTTTCGTGTATATGAATGTTGTTCTGCAAAACAGTTAGCTCTTTAATTTATAATCAGTTAGATGATGTGTTACGAATTAAACCTAAAATAATAATTTCTGGAAAATACTGTCAGCCCAAATTTAAGATATCATTAAATAGTTGGTATTTTCCCAATTCACGATACTATTCCTGCTTCAACCAGATTAGAGAAACAAACCAAACCTTATGTTTTTTAATGGAACCTCGCATGTGTGCAATACTATCCAATTTTCGCCCTTGGTCCAAAAACTGTACCAGCGAGTGAGGCTGCACCATATGAAATGGCGAACCAGGCTGGAAAGGAAAATTCCCAAGCTGATAATCGATAATGAATTTATACTGATAATTAAATTCCAACATGATAAATGTAGACTTCAGCAACTCTCATTTTGAAATTTCAGCAATGGTTTCTCACTTTAAATATTTGGAAGGAAACAAAATGAAAAAACAATTGAAATGAAGGTTAGCCAATAAAAGAAAAACTGCATACAAAAATTAAATATGATAAATATTAAATTGATAAGTGAAAAACTAAATACGCATGATGAGTATGATATAGGTGTGATATTTCACTCAAACAGAGGAGCAGGATATTGTGCGCACCAATCGTCCTAATTTCGCTTTTAAAAAGCTTTCGTTAGCTTCATATCTAATTACTCTTATAGAAATGCTCTTGATATTTCATGTAACATTTCCAATTCTTAAATTAGACTTCTCAATGTTCAGAATCATTTATATCATTTAACAGTTATTATTTTAAAAAAATCTACAAGCATAACTTACAACGGATTTTATCGTAAGTCCATCATCGGTAACCATCCAATGAGTAAAGCATAATCCATCATATAAGAATAATGGCAGTATGAATAGAAGGCAAGTCTCGACACATATTCCTAATATCATTACTCTTCTAATGAATCTGAAAAAGTTTCATGCATTAGATCAAAATTCCTTTGGAAGATTTAAATTTAAATGTATCACTGGACTACCCCATTTATAGTGCATTCCCTTTTAATACGATTCAAACATGTTACATATGGAAGGAAAAAAGTTTTCAAATTGATAATTTAATAAGAAAAAGAAATGTAAAATTACCTAACCACATCGGTTATTTTTAAGCCCCTCATAATTCATAATGCCAATTTTTCACTTGTCACCTATTACTCTTAGCTTAATGTATAAATGTAGACGTAAATGTCTGAGGACTAAGGATAATAAAATATAACAATCACAATGACATAATCGTTATTATTATTGCTTTTTAATAGCATGAAGTACAGAATAATAACGATATATTTACAACTATAAGATTCTCCAATTTATTGGCAATATCCTCTATGAATACTATATTACGTTTATTATTAACAATATAACAACAAACAACGTAAAGTAAACATAAAAGAAGGATTTGAAAAGAAAATCAAACAAAATAGCAAAGCAGAAATTATAAATGAAAACAAAAAATGCAAAAGTAAACATTATGTGAATTACAACAAAAAACTTTCTACACTCATACTTGTTTAACAGTAAATGTACAATATATTATACGAAGTTTATGTATTAAAAAAATGGAAAAAGGGAATGGTATAAATAAGAACAAAGAACTGAAAACTAACAGGAAAAAAGCAGAAATAGAGGAACAGAAATATAATTTAAAAAAACAGGAAGAAAAGAGAAATAAAGAGTAGGAATAAAAAAAGTGGAAATAAAAAAGAAAAAACAGAAAGAGAGAAATGAAAACAAAAAATAAAACTAAAAGAAAGAATAACGAAACAGAGAGGAAAAAAAGATGGAAACATAAAAATGGAACTGGGAAAACTGAAATGAAAAACGGAAATGAAACATACAAACACAAAAACAGAAACAAAAAAGGGAGAAATGAAGAAAAATGAAAAAAAGAAATGGAAATAATAAAAAGGGAATTGGAAAAAATAAAAATACGGAGTAAAAAAAGGAAAAATAGACAGCTTGCCATTCAAATCGTTATCCCATCCCTTCATCGAGTCTCGTACATCAACATAACCTGTAAATACCACTTAGGGTGAGGTATTTTGTGACTCGGGTCACGGAATCACCTCGAAATGATCGTTAGTCTCTTTTACGTCGAACATTAAGCTGTTGTTATTAGATTGGTTACCTTTACATGAAACATTAAGTTGTTGTTCTTCTTAGGTTGTTTACCTTTACACGAAACACTAATTTGTTGTTCTTTTTAGGTTGTTTACCCTTATATGAAACATTAATTGTTGTTATTAGGTTGGTCACCTTTACCTGGAATATTAAATTGTTACTAGTTTGTTGCCTTTACGATGAACACTAAATTATTAATATCAAGTCCCTTATCTTTATATGGGACATTAAATTGGTACTTATTAGGTTGATTACCTTAAGCTGTTGTTATTAGGTTGAAATATCAGACTGTTGTGATTTGGTTGATTTGTTTTGGTTGAACTATAATTCATCGTTTATTGTTATTCAATAAGTTTGGTTATTTTGTTGAAATTCGTATATCCAACAAAGTTTTTGTTGCAAATGTTGGATGTTTATAGGTGAAAAAAAAATTTCTTGAATATTTATACGTAAAAGAATTATTTTGAAATTCTGAAATTTTTGGAAATATTAGTGAAATGGAATCATACTATTTCATTATGTTTATATTTTATTACGTGGTTAATATGAAAGTGATATGTTATTAAGTATTAAGTAAAAGTCACTAGGTAAAAGGTAAAAGTTACTGTGATTTTATTATATGACAGTGATTAATGTATTATATGAAAGTAATAAACGAATGCGTGAACATTACATGATCAGTGGCACATTATTTGAAAACCATGAGTGACTTATTACATGAACGTTAGTATTAGGTGAAATCATCACATGGAGATGACTAGAACATCAGTACTAAGTGAAATTGTCACATGGAGATGATTAATACTCTACGACGTAATAGGTCCATTACATGATATTTGTGAAAGTAGTCATTTTCTTATAAGGTTACAAATGACTAGAAGCATAAATTGGAAAGAAATATGGGTCAGTTTAGATGAATAAACGGAAGTTTTACGAAATCGAATTTCAAATAACTTGAATTAAAGCTAAAAATCAATAAACTAGGAGTAATGAAATGAATAGTGAAATCTAATTAGTTGGATTATCAAGTTTTCGAGTTTGAAATTTGCTCATTCAGACAAAATTTTATTCTCTCCTGTCGGTTTTTGTCAATTTCTTCATATATCAATTTAATTTCAGTTAAATTCGAACTTGTGTAGGTAGGATAACGATAATGTATGGTCATCAATCGATTCCACGATCGGTAAGTGCTGGACAGTTAAATGCAATGATGTCACATCCTGGAATGGTCATTACTTCGCAGCAAATGATGAATACGGTTTGCTTTATTTATGTTTTACAGTTGCTTATTATATTTCACTGAGTTGATTGGCGAACGATTGCTATCCTTTCTGCGTTCATAGTTAGGCATTGCAAGCGAGGATTTGGGAAGGGCTGTCTATTCACGCTTATTGCAAACGCTACAAACATGGATGTATCCTTCCACTCAGCGCAGTGGATTTTTTAGGTAAGGCACAGCGTGCGCGGAACTGATCCAACTGTTTACTTCTAAGGATCATTCGCCAGTGTCTAGTGAGTGCAGATGGTGACAGTGATGTTTTGTTGGATTATTCTTCTCTAAGATGGAAAGCCTTACAAGGAACTTCATAAACGAACTTCATTGCCTGGCTTTGGAATTAGAATTATCCTTCTCCTAGGACGGCTGCGGGGAGGCTAGCAAGCCCATCCTACTCATGGACACACTTTGTTTGCCCTTCAGGGGAGACATGTCTGGCGTGGGAGACCCTAACAGAAGTATAAGCTACCGCCCGCATAACTCGCAACCTCAGTAAGGCACGCAAGTTTCCCCCTTCCCAGATAAGGGGATATCTGCATTTACTACCTCTTTAATTTTTTTTTTTACTTGTACATGAATAAACAGAATAATTTTGTGTTTCGGACTTAAACTTTTAGTTCTTGAAACTTAAATGAAATATTTTACATTTCTAAACTTACATATTTCAAAGAAAGGAATCTTTTTATTCTCGGATTCCTCATTTTAGAACAGTTTTCTCTTCTTTCGCTTTTGATTTTCGAAACATTGAAGAGATTTAGAGAAAAGTAAAACGAAAACGAAAGGGCTAGCAAGTGAGACTTTTCTGTGTATGATATAAATAAAGAATCAAGTAGCGTTACAGCCGTTTTGGGACTTTTCGGATAATGACATTGGTTGATTGTTCATATATAACTATTGTTAGTAAATTAACGCTTAATCATGTACGTATTAGTTACTACGGATTAATGTAATTAATTGCCACGAATTAATTGATTGCTTAAGATCATATATAATTAGCCACTTTAAATCGAAGTTCATTCCATTTTCCAGTTTTCAGTTGTATTAACAAATTGAACAAAATTTCTATTTTCCTTCAAATTTCAGCCGCAAGGTGTAATGGTTTCCCAGGCTGGTTATCCACAAGGTATGATCAACGCTGCTCAACCACAACCACAAATGATGCCATCACAGGCTCACATGGGTCAACAAATGATGAATACACATATGGGTGTCGTGCAAAATCTCAATCAACCAGGCCATATGAGCGTGCAGCATCAACAAATGCAATCGATGCAGCAAGTTCAGATGGCACCGCAACAAGCATATATTCAGGTAAAATTCATATTTAAAACTTTTTCAATTGAATGCTCAGTTAAAACATACACTTGTGCTTGAAATTGCAAATTAAAGATGATCATATAACATGAAATGAATCAGTTAACACAAATGAATACTTCTTCAATTCGGACGAATTCTTATGGAATAAATAAGAATATACTAAATATCGATCAATTTTGATTCGTGTTCTTTATTTTATGTTGTTGACGAATGTTCTTTGGCTTAAGTTATTGGAAGCATAACACTATTGATTTCGATTTTTTTCTTTTTTTTTTTTTTTGTTTTACGCAGACAATTTTATTCTCTTTACAATGGATTCTACATGCCATAAGGTGGCAGTCCTTTTTTGTCCTTATAAAAGGCTTTTTATACTTTTACCAGTTGAATTTTCCACTATCTTATTTTATAAAAATTCACTGAAATGTTTTAAGCAACAAGGAATGTCACATCCAAATTTCGTGAATGGCCAAGCACGGAGTCCAGCTGTTGGACCTGGCCCACAGGGGATTTCGGTACGTTTTTGGAAATCATTTTTCTTTCTCTTGAAATTTGAGAAAAACAAATATAGGAAGATACAGGAAGTATTTTTTTCAAAATTCTCATACATCTGATGTTGATACTTCA